TGATAAAATTTCTAGTGATTTTAACCATTGTAATCTATTTAGTATAGAAAGGTTAACCCAGAAACACTGATCCAATATAAATACCTAAAAATATTTTAATTATTGAATAATTAATTAAAATGAGTAAAATTATAATACTTTTAAATTTTTTAATTGCTCGGGATAGTATTTTTGCAATTCGAACGTATTTGTTACATAGGTCTTTTTTAAACTCAATTCGATTAAAGTTTCTGGAAAATCTCTTAATTTCAACTAAAAAACAGTAAATCAAAAAAAGATAAATGTAAAAATATAAGATAATACCATATTTCCGTCAATTTTCATATTTTCCAAAGCCAAAACCGACAGATTTAAAGTAGATATATTTAAGAAAAAGTTATCCGGAATTAGTTTAATGTGTCTCCCATCCGCACTTATTCTAACATCTTTGGTGGTATTGGTTATTTTATCAATGCAAAAGTCAATTTTCTCATTATTGTTTATAAGATCTCTAGCGTCAATTTTATACCATAAATATTTAGTTTGAACGATGTCGTGTAATCGTTGGCATGTCCTTATATGAAAACACGAAATGTGTATGTATCGCAAAAAAACAACTAAAATCAAAAAACTTACTTGCTTATTAACCATAAATCAGTTGAATTTAAATATCGAAACATATTTAATAGTATGTAGTCGTTTAAATTTAAAATATTCAATTTGTGTGTATTAGATGACATTTTAAATAATATGTTTTTTTAATTGTTGTCGTCAGGTATTAGTGCAGATATAAAAATAACTGTATAAGCAGTAATCATAAAACACGAATACGCGATAAGATATAGATTTTATCACACACCCGTTTTAGATCGAGATTTCTTATAATTAATTAATCCACTCCATAAGACAATGCGGCGATTTATTAACATTACAATGTCAACAACATATTTTTATGGCTTTGACTACGGAAGGCTCTCAGTTTCTTGTGCAAGGTGACATATGCATACAGAGCATGAATTTGTTCAATATTTGACGATTTAGCTTTTTTAGCCTTCCACATTTGACAGTTCCTAGAAAACATATAAAGCTGAGAAAGCGCTTCAGTTCACATAACACATTTTATTTATGTAATATTATTCTCTTTTGGAACACTTTTCCTTCGAAACTTTCAGCGTGTTATGGATGTTGTACTTCTATGAACAATCAGTTTTATTTCATCACAAACAATTTAAGTCACCCCTCGTTTTTTTGGTTTGGTCTTTTTCTTGTCCAATTTTCCAATTTAACATAACGTCTTTTAAGTCCTTCACCCAAAACATACTTTGTACGCCCATTGATCTCAACCCAACCCAACCCAGCAACAATTTGTTTTCCAAAGCCAAAAAGCATTAAAAATTATGCCCAAAACCACCTCACAATATACAGTGTGTCCCAGGATAGATGTTACAAGCGGTATAATGACTTAAAATACTTTGAATTTTATTTTAAGGCTGAGGAATTAAGCCCTGCTTGGTGTAAAGACACAATTTAAAAAAGTAGCATAATTATCTATATAAGCCGCACTGGTTTCGAAGCTGTAACTTGCACTTTACCCAAGCCCTTAACACTGGACGATGTAAATTTTCTGTTCTAATGTTAACATAATGCAAGAGTAATTGAAATGTGAGCTAAAACTGAGGAATAATACATTTTTTATATCATTTTTCATTGTTGTTTGTCTTCACTCTGATGTAATCTAAAATATGGTGGTTTAATCAAAGTAGGTAGATCTTTCTGAAATTTTGCATAGTCTCATAATTTCTCATTCTGAACAACTTTTCTTAATGCAATTTTGCCGTATCATAAACAAAAAGCTTACTTTACCTGAACTAAAAATAGTTGTCGCATCACTGTGAAGGTCGAGTTGCTTTTCAAAATATGAAAATATACTTAAAATTCTCTCCACACGAAGCAGAGCTTTATTTCCCATCCTTAACATAAAATTCAAAAATTGTTAGGTCATTATACCTATTGTAACATCTATCCTGGGACACACTGTATGTTAACTGGATTTGTGCGTCTATATCTCTGGTTAATCTTTAGCTTATCTATGCGAATAACTTTTATAATATAATTCTTAATGCATCTGCAATATTTTCAGTTGTATGAAGGACATTGATATTAAATTACAAGATTAATACCACCTTTATTAAAATCATTTATAGTTACAGTGTTAAAAATGCATTTTAGGTCTACATGTGCACATACTTTCATGAATAACTCTACAATCAAAATTATCCAACATAAAATTTTGTACTCCTTCAGCTGTCACTTTGGTGCCAGTAACATCCAACAAGGATAAATTTAAATGTTTCACATAATCCAATGCTTTATCAGTTACTCCATAACATCCTCTCAACGACAACTTCTTTAAACTAACGTCGTTGTATTTTTCAAAAAACATATTGTCATACATTCCTGAAAAATAATTCATTATGATTAAGATTATTCTAAAAATACCTAATAATTAAACGTAATAAAGAAAAACATACATTTTATAATTAGAAAAAAAGATTGCAATAGAAGAAACTGAAAAATTTGTTGAGAGCGCAGTTTTCGCTTTGTTGGAAGCAAGATAATAGGTAATTTGTTGTGACAACTAATAACTGTCGATTGTTCTTACACTAGCTGGGCAGGTAGAGGCCTAGTATATACTACAAGTAAATAGAAATGCTGTCTTATTGATTTCCAAAGCGTAAACTATGATATATCAAAAGGATTCCGCTTAGAGATATAGGTATTTATATGATGTATATAGATATGATATAGATATGTATTGCACTCATCCTAACCTCTTTGTGCAGTAGAAACACTTATCTACACTTCAAATTTTTTTAATACTGGAAACCTTACTTAATTTACAATTTAGATGACTTTGCTACTGAGAGCTTCATTGTCAAAAAAGTAAAACTTATCCTTTTTGACATATGCCTAAGTAGTTTCCAAACAAAAGCTTAAATTTAAATGAAGTAGCACTAATTACTTAGAGACCTCTGCAAAATTTTTTTGATGGATATGTTAACCATGTTTTTAATACATAACCGTTATATAATATATACATACTTGCATTTCCACATACGCCCCTACGACGCTTTCGTTGCTCTCCTGGTACTTCTTTGATTGAAAGGCTGTTTATTAATAACAAACAACATAAAGTATTTTCCATCACAGCAATGTCTTTTTCACATTGATTTGGGTTTTCTAAAGCATTCGGAGAATTAGATTTACTTGTTCCCATCACATTAGAATTATCAGCAGGTTTAAGAGTGTAAATGTTACCTCCCTTACAAACTTTTCGTACCTTGTCCTCATCAGAAACTGTTAATGTTTTTCTATCACTAGAAATCCTTGTAGCTGTGTTAGGATTATTTTGACAGGTACATTCATTGTAAGGCCTCTTGTATAAAATACTTTGAAAACTATAACTGTCTTGAATTGGTTTGGCTGAAGAATACAAATGAATACCACTGTCAGAAAGATGTCCATATGGAGCCTTCTCAATTGTTGCTGTGGGTCCAACAAAACTATGTAAGATGTCTTCATTCCAAAGTGCGATATCATCTAAATCAGAAACATATGAATTTTTCAACCTTTTGCAGCCGTGAGCTATTTCTAATTCCCGTTCATCCCTCTCTAAGAAGTAAGTGGTGTGGTAGTCTTGGAAATAAATTTCTTGTATCTTCGGCTTCTTAGAAAGATACTTTAAAAACATATCTCCCAGACCAGAAAAACGACAATCCACAATTCGCAAGTTTTGCATTGTCGAAATATTTAAATCAACATCACACAATCCTTTACACTTATACAATGATACAATTTCTAGTGAATTTAACCATTGTAACACACTTAATATCCATTGGTTAACCCAGAAACACTGATCCAATATTAACACCTACAAATATTTGAGTAACAAAAAAGTTTAAACGTTATATTTAAAAATTATACTTTTAAATATTTTAGTTTAACAAGACAGTTTATTATCCCGGAAATATCAGTTATATATGTTTTTTTTAAACTCAGTTCTATTAAACTCTCAGGAAAATCGTTTAGTTTTAGCTAAAAATAATACCAAACCTTAGAACGATAAATGCTAAATACATAGAAACGACGAATATACCATATTTCCACAAATTTTTTGATTTTCCAATGCTAAAACCGTTAAGTTTAAAGTAGATATATTTAAGAAAAAGTAATCCGGAATTATTTTAAGGTGTCTGCCATCCGCACATATTCTAATATCCTTGGTGGAACCGGTAATGTTTTCAATGCAAAAATCGATTTTTTCTCTGTTGTTTGAAACATCTCTAGCATCAATTTCATACCACAAACATTCAGTTTTAACCAAGTCGTGTAGTCGTTGACAAGTTCTTACGATAAAATAAGAAAAATAACAATATGGAAAATTAGATAACTAATAACTTACTGGCTCACTAACCATAAATCAGTTTTATTTAAATATCGAAATATATCTAACAATGTATAATCGTTTAAATTCAAAATATTCAGTGAGGATGTGTTACAAGACATTTTAAATACCACAATTTTTTAATTATTGTCAACACATGTTACTGCAAATACAAAAATAACTGTGTAGAACAACTAATAACCATAAAGCATGAATAAGTGATAAGATAAAGATTATTTGATAAATCCATTTTAAGTCGATTCACATATTTCCATGTTGTCCGCATCGAATTCGTTCCGTTCAGTCACTGAACTCTCACGAATTTTTGCGAATGAAGCGCAAAGTACTAGCAAATCTGACTTAAAACATTCTTTAACTAAATTAAATAAATAGTTATTTTTGATACAAGATAGCGAAATGACACTTTTGCATTCGAGAACGAAAGTTTTTTTTGCGAGCTTTAGCGAGCAAAAAAAATCGTTCGAGAATTCAAAAGAATTTTGCTGTCGTGTATCAAACAACATTTTTTCGAAAACTGCGTATACTAAAGTTATAAATTAATAAAAAGACCAAATTCTGTATAATGACATTTAGAATTCATTTAATGTTATGTCAAAAACTTAATGTCACATCGATTTAACCTCACTTATTGAACAAATGTACTATTATAAATTTGCATTTAAACGTGAAATGAAATGATAAAACAATTAAATGTGGATTATTTTGTGTTTATAATTTGTTCATAACAATAAATTAACAATTAATAGTATCAAATTCTTTGATTGTCGTAGCTGGACGTAAAAGTCTTTTGCGTCCTGGACGTAATAGTATATTAAAAAACAAGTTTCGTAAGACACGCTTGAAATGCACGAATTCAAGTTGAAAAACGAGTGGCGAAGCCACGAGTTTTTTAATGAATGAGTGCTTTAAGTCTTATGAAACGTGTTTTTTATGCTATTTTTTGTAATTCGCG